CTGTACAAATGTCTCAAAGGCCCGCATTTTGGAGAAGATCATCGCCTGCTTTGAACAGAAGGCACCCACATTTGCTAATTGTAATATATGCATACATGTAGGTAGAAAAGTATTCACACACTTAATTTTCTGTCTGTGTTTGTGTTATCCATTGCTTTACATTTATTCATTTTTGCTGAAGCTTTTATTCAAAGCGACTTACAATTGCTATGTATGTCAGATGCCTCTGGAGCAACTAGGGGCAACTAGGCAGGGCGGCTTGTTCATTAGGTTGACCGGGCACCGCCAAGCCAGGAAAGGTAGGTAGCATGATGTGGCCACCACGGGCATCTTGTCAGAGGAGGGTAAAAAGAAGAAGAAGTAGGAAAGCAACACAGGAAATAAACCAAAAACAATAGAATAAACCTTTTAAATTTCCCCTTGCATGCCTTGTTGTTCATGTAAATACAAAGGAAGAATGGGAGAACAGCACATAGTTCGTTGTTACTGTGTGATTATACAGTTACAGGAGAACAGTGGATACTTTAATACAGCCCACTCCCCTAATAATACTGTGTATCTACAGGATAACAAGTGGAGTTTTTACAACTCTCTGCTTACCTTATTAGTCTTGTGTAATGTGTAACTTAAAAACTGAAAATAAATACTAGGTTCATCTGTACCCCGTTAAACATTTAAGAATAGCTGTGTTTGATCCACCTTCATATACAGCATATGTGACAATATTACATAACTGTAGCCTATTACTTGAGACGGGTCCCTTAGCTGCAACGCAAGATTAACTGTAAATAATTTTATTCATTGCAGTGCCACTGTGCTTTTCTGGATTTGTTGTTCCTAAATAAAAGGTTTGTTACAGCTAAATCAGATGATTGTGAGAGTCATTCTTTTTTTATCATTATTGCTAAAGTAGTTGCCTTTACATCCAAAGGTCTAAAGATCGGTTGATTTTAACTGTGGACTGTTCATTCATTGTAGACATTGACAATGAACTTCAGGATGTAGCTGTTCACAAATACTGTACAGTATGTAGCCTAAGGAACAATCCTTGTGTTATAGCAGACTAAGGCCATTGAACTCACCTTAGCCATCATCAAAACCCCCCCTGAGAGATTTGGCAGCAGCCACCACTGCAACTAGGTGTCACTTTGGCAAGGTCTATTCGCTTTTTTAATTAAAGTTAAATGATCTCATGTCTGCATGTTTATTGTGAAGCTGCAGACAGGCGCTTATTAGCTTAACTAAGCATTAAAAACAGGTAGCGTGTTTCTCCCTGCATGTCCAAAGTTCAAGAATATGCCTGACAGCACCTCTAATGCTCATATCGGTTATCTCTCATTATTCTTCTTATATTTTCTACTACTATGTAGGGCTGACCCCAGATAGTTGAAGATTCGATGGGCGGAGCCTGATTCGACTGTCAATCTAACCGTCGAAGCTTCGCAGCGAAACAAGGATCATGCCATTTTGGCGATATCTGCTTTTAGAACTACCAGTTTTCTCCCAATAAGTTAATATACAGCCGATTACAATATACATTCCAATGCTTAATGCTGTAAATAAACATGTAAAAAGAATAAAACCTTAAAGTGTGTAAATAAATCCAAAATTGTAACCCTAACCCTGGGTCATCAGTGCGCATGTGTAGGCGTATCGTGTATGTAGCGGCAGAAGAGGAACACTTGCTGAAGAGACGGAGCTCCAGCTTCACCAGTGTTGTGCCGAGTTGTCCACACCTTGCGGGACTTTCGAATAATTTATCACCGTTGATGAACCACACAAAGAATATTTTATCGTTTTTAAATAGCCAGCTAGTTGAAATAGACCTGCAAGGAACCACAACATGCATGCAGTTGTCGGCAGTACGGACTGCACGCAAAACTCTGCACGAGACCGGTGAATGACAGGCGAGAGAGAGAAAAGGGTCTTCAAAAAGCCTCAGCACACATGATTCGACTATAGGCAGGACTTGACAATTCTGATTCGACTATGTAAATCCTTAGCTGGGGACAGCCTTACCACTATATTTATTGCAACAAAAAACCAAAGCAAATAAGTTTGATACTATGATACGGCAATAAAGCTGATTCTGCTTCTAATTTCTTTTTCAATCCATACAACAATCTAAACGTAAAAACAACAAGTTGAGGTTTTACCAGTGGCTTAAGTACCGATGGTGCAACCTGTACAATGCACCGGGGCCCAGCTGATTACAAGGGCCCACAATGGACAGCAACAATTGCAATGTGGATTGTGATCAGATGCTGTCATCTATTCATTCGTACTGTGTTAGCATAATGAGTTACCATGCTTTTCTTGATTGCCATTTGTTCTATGGTTATTGACATACTGTGTCAGCTACTTTGTGTTGATTTCTTACTGGGGGCTGGCCAAAGCTATTTTTAATATTTGATAATCTGAGACCACAGGTTTGAGTTGAGGGCAAGCTGTCCGTGGTGCTGATCAAGTGGTGAGTCTGTACCTATGGTCTGCACGCATGTGTAAACACAAACATGCTTTTTAGGGGTCATTTACAAATATGTTACACTGCTGGGTTTAAGGCAGAGTTACGCGCTGCAACAATTTCTTGATGAACACCAGAGTATTGACCTCCTAAAGTGTTATTGTCCCTGTGTTGTTTCTGATTTGGTTTATGTACATTTTAAACAACTATGATACAATGTGAGCTGGACTTCTGAACTTCTTCCAGACATGAGGGGTGTATCAATCTTCTTGTGTAACGCAGCATGAAAGCAAATAAGTGGATTTCCAAAAGTGTTTGTTATTTTATGCTTCTGCGGTTGTTGTATAGGTTATTTATTAAAAAAAAAAAAACTTATTTTGTGTTTTTCTACCTTACAGTTTTTGGACTGTGAGTAAGAAATCCTTTTGTGTGGACCCAGGGGCCCGCTGGCTCCATAAAAGACAGGAGTTAAAGAAAGTAAGTCTAGAGAACACTTTGGCTGAAATTTACAGTGGAAATGTATCTAGAAAATCTAGTTTGCGATGATTTTTGATGTTGTTGTTAATTTGACATTATTATGAGATGCAGTTTAGAGGAACATACCATACCTCCCAACTAAAACGTCTGACACTTTTTATTGCATCCTATTGTGGATTTGGGAATTCTAGCATTTGATAAATCAAAAGCAGCTTAAACAGAAGATATCTGAATTCCTATAATATGGAAACTGTCTAAGAATTAACTGTTTCTCTCCACAGAATGGAATATTTTGCACAGTCCTGTGAAAAACCTTCAACAGCCAAGATGAAGGTGATGCACCATGGCGCTCTAAGCAGAAGTCTTTACGCTGGCACCAATTTCTGTTTAATTGTTCTACTAACTGAAATGTTTACCTTAAACCTTGAAGGTTGAATGAATAGCATTTGTTGGTTGATGTTTGCAAACACACCATTTAAAGCTGGCCCCTCGTCCTGGCTCAACTAGCAAGTGGGAGAGACAGAGCGGCAGTAGTTGAGCATATAAAAACTGGAGACAATCCCAATATCTAGCCTATCGCTCTCCCTCTGAAGCTCAAAAATGAAATGGGGGAAAAAACACAACAACTTTCTTAACACAATGTGCCTATGGCATTATTTAATCCAATATGAACTGTATTGAACAATAAAATGTCAATTACACAACAGATTTTAATGTTACACATGTTACACAGCCTGTTAGTTTGGAGTTAACCACTCATTTGCCAACACATACCGCATGAGTTACAACATTTGCAAAGCTACTTCTTCCTCTTCTTCAATATCAATCCCTGATGTGGACAATGGCACTAAGGTGGAGCAGCTGAATAGTTTTAGGTTTTCTTGGAATCAGTATCACGTCATGGTCATCTCACATTTCCACGCTGGTAAAGACAGAAACAGCTGTATTTCTTAAGGAAACTTAAGAAGGCAATTCCTGTGCCAAGTACTTGTTAACTTATAGTGAGGAAATATGTGGACCCATTGCAACAGCTGTGGTCTTCTTTCTCTAGAGTGGGGTGTGTGCTCCTGCGTGTTGACCTCATTTATAACAACAAAATTTCTTCTTGCAAGTCAGAGCTTCACTGTTAACTTTACTGACAAGCACTGGAGCAGTGAGTGTCCAGAATAAGGCTCTTAATTATTCACTATCACCAGATCTCTACTGTACAGAGACACACTGTCATATTGCGACCCAGGATGCCTTTCTCCCTTCGCTATGGGCTTTGTGTGCGTTTAACCATGCTGCTTTTCCTTCTTGCACAAGGTGAGTGTGTGACTACTAATTACTTCTAGAGTCTGTGAAGGGTAACTTAAACAGTTGTATTTAAAATGTATTGATTTGTATTGTATAGAAATTAGATTGATTCCCTGTCAACACTAAAATAAAGAGGATTCATCTTAAAAGTTTATGTTTTTTGCCACAGGAGGTTTTCATTTTGTATTAAACATTAAAAGAGAAATCTTTTTTTTTCTTTCCATATTGGAGTTCTATCATGTGATACTTAACGGAAAGATCTTTGATGTAAATGAAGAACAGATGCTGTGCTGGCTAACACAGCAGTTGCAATGTACTTGTTAAAGGGGGAAGATTTTCCCACTGTATTCCTTGTATCTATGTACACGGAAAAGAGCACTTTATTTTGCTTTGGAAAGATACACATGGGGGAAATCAAACTATTTCAGTCATTTAGGAACTAAAAGAGAACAAGATGTAAACAAAAAGGGTATAAGCAAGTCTGGCTCTCTCCAAAGTAACAAGATTTGCCTAGCATTACCTTAAAGTTCATTAATTAACATGCTTTATCTATCGTAATTGCTAATATACTGAAAATTCAATACTTTTGGGGGGGGGGTTAAATAGTCAGCCTGTAAGATAGTTTCCTGTACATAAGCTTAATAATATTTTTCTGTGTTGTGTATGCATTGCAGTGCGGCCCCAGTGTTACAGGCCTAGGCCCAGGAGTCCAGGGCATGTCATTCCCAATTGCTGCATGAAAACCTCAAATGCCACCATTAGAAAACTGTCAATGCCTGCTTCCTGCAGGAGAAAAATACTTTTTCTCATTGCAAAATAAAGGCTTACATGTAAGTAAAATTGCTCATACAAGCTTCATTTTCGCATTTATGGTGTGCTGTCCGTCCCTGTAAGGCACATTGATCATATTTGAAAACAATCAGTCTCTAGCACATGTTCATGTCTGTTACATGTCTTTTCAACCCTACAGCCTTACCAATGAAAATAACGAATGGTGTGTGGACCCAAGAGCTTGGTGGCTCCAACAAAGACTCTGGAGGTTAAAGCAAGTAAGCTGGGGAATTAGGGGGTAACAATGGGTTCTGTAGCACTTTATAAATGCTGTGATTTATTTTAAAATTACTATGTTCTACTTACCCACATTGGAGGGGTAACAAAAATGATGAAGATTTTTACATAGTTCCTAATGTAAAAAAATTACATAGTTCCTAATAGCTACAGGGTACATTGTGTTTTTACTTTACTGGAAATACAGAGGTCAAAAAAAAAAAAAAAAAAAAAAAGAGTATTGTCAAAACATACTGTAGGCCTATATGTTAACGTGTGTGTAATATAGATAAACTTACAGGATGGGGTACAACAGAGGGGACTTCAACAGCCTGCAGTGGTACAGTTGGAATGACACTGTTGTTACACATAGTGCCGTTTATTGTTGTTATGGACAGTATTAGAAATACTTTTGGTAGGGGCTAATACGGCTAAACTGAAAACAAGTGTCCATCTAAGCCAAAAAAAAAGTGGGAAAAATTACACTCTGTGTTGCACACTATAATTTAAAGGGTTTTCTTCTATTTTTTCTTGATATATTTAGGAATTCCAGGTTTTGACTTCAAATTCAGATCCACACATTAAAGAAAAAATGGATTCAGGTTGCTCAGATTCAATAGGTCAAATTCAAATGAAAAAGTTCAGCCAATTTTAATTAGCCGAGACAGCCGAGAACAGGCACTTCCCTCCCTTCCTCTGGTTCTCCAGAGATTTAGCAGGGTAAAGTGTCAAAAGCTGTACTATGCGGTAAAGGCTAGAGGGCAGAGAGCCCTGCATGGGCGGTGAGCAAAAACGTGAGCTGCCGTGGCTGGTCTGAATTTGACTAATATAATTTGATTTGGTCTTTCTGAATTTTTTCAACTTGAATTTTTAGATTTGAATTTGACCAATGGAATAATATTTCCTATTTAATTACAAAGAGGTGAATTCAGAACAAATCACTTCAGATACATGGTTTTCAGAGTAAAATATTTAAGTGCTATGAATTAGTGGTGTTTAAATTTCATCATTCAGTGGCTGTTAAAATGCAAAGAATTATTTCTCTTATTTGCTGCCATACTTTTAATTTAATTTCTTCTCCCCAGAGAGGAATATGTTGCCAAATCATCTGACAGACCTTTGACAATCACAACGAATAATGCATCATGACCTCCTATCCAGAATTTTTTCTTTTTTTCTTTCTAACAATTTAGATCAAATTTCTCTGTAAACATTTAAATATGTTACTGATGTCTTTGTAGGAATTTTCATTGTCTAATAAACTATTAAAGAGTTTCAACCATTGTTGTCTTGGTGTTGCTGCATGGTATTTACAGTTTATATCACGGGACAAGTAGCCTTGAAAATGCTGAATTGAATGAATTTAAAATTTAAATGTTCTTACTAAAAAATGAAAAGAGGTCTCCATGATAGTGATGAAAATTTCTCCAAACAATAACTTTGTCAGTTATGTCTTCCAACCTGTGGTCATTTTTCTTGAGAAACAGCCACGAAATAAAGAAATTACTCTTACATCCTTTCCACAATGTCCATATTTGCTTTTTATTAGCAGCATGGCTCTAGAGATGACAGTGTCGCTCAGTCCACTACTTTGGTCCAGACATCTTTATCTCAACAATTATCGGACAGATTGCCATGACATTTTGTATAGAAATTCATGGTCCCCAGAAGAGAAAGATTAGCCTACTGCGTTTGGTAAAGCTATGACATTTCCTCTAGCGCCATCATGAAGTTGACATTTTTGGTTTTAAGCAAAATATCTCAACAATGTATTGTATGGACTGCGTTTAAATTTGCTATAGATATTCATGGTCCAGAGGATGAATCCTAATGACTCAGGTGATCCCTGACTTCGTCATCGTGAGATTCACTTTTGTGATTTGAGTGAAACATCTCAACAACTTTGGATAGATTGCCATGTAATTGGATAAACACAGTCATGCCCCCCACAGAATATATTTTTAATCACTTAATTTTACATCTAGCACGGTCATCAGGTTAATACTTTGGTTTATGAACAAATACCGGCAAAACTAAAGTAATTCCCATCAACCTTAGCTGTACTTTTAGGCTATTTTTAATGCTAATTAGCTAATGTTAGCATGCTAACACTAAACCTGACTAAACTGAGGTGTTGAACATGGTTTCTAGCATGGTTAGCTAGCTACCTTCAGTTTATGCTGCATTCATAACAGAAAGGAGAAGACAACAGTTGGCCTTACAGCTTTAATCTCATTAGTGCACACTTGTCTATCCATCCAACACACTTTATTATCCATTCATTCTCAGATAGGGGCCCAGCCAGTTATACTTACAGCTCCCGTGTCAGCTTGTGAACAACACTTGTAGCCATAAGCAAGTGGAACACGCAAGAATCTGTATTATATATACTGGTTGTGTAACTCAAGTTTAAATTATGTTTACTATATTATAACTGATAGTGAGACAAATAATCAGAATCTACTCTAGCCTGATATTATTTGGAATTTGAGGGTGGAGCAGCAATTGGCTATGCTCGAGTCTTTAGCGCCTCCGGCTGTGAATCCAGATGTTTTTGCCATCGTCACTGCAGCTTTGCAGCAACGCCCTGCAAATCAACTAATCTCATCTGCCAGTGCACACACTCCCTCTACAACAAATCTTCTGCCTCCACAACTGTCTTTCAGAATACCTGGACCCAGAATGCCTTTCTCCGTAAGGTTTGGAGTATGGTGAGTGTGGTTTTGAGTCTTTTAAGGAACCTTTTGGATGCAGGATATTTTCATAAAGTGACTTAAGCATTCCAAATACTATTAAATGTTACTGGAGATGACCTCTTGATTACTTTACAAGATGGAGTGCTCAGTAGGCTATATTATCCAAAATATTCAAATCAAATCACAAACAGATGCTTTTTGGAAGAATCTGAATACATCCACATTAAACATACTGAATAATATAAAGACAGCAGGAAATGTCTCTAGCTTAGAGCATTCCACACATAGTTGGAGTGAAAACTTAAGCAACTCAAATCACTGAGGAACTTGTGTATTCAGACAGAACTAAAGGTTAATTTCAGAGGTAGTACAATAACATACAAAGTCAATGGAATGAATTCACCCAGGATGGCACGATTAGATGAGACGTGCTGCTTGAGTTGAAAATGTTTCAACTTGGGCTTATCCTGGGCTTTATGAATCAGCTTCATACATGTACAGAGATCTTAGGGAAATGAAGAGAGACTGATGGGAAATAACAGTAGGAAGCTGGGTTTTTGGTGAGCTCTGTCAGAGGCTGAGTTGAATCAGTAAGCTAGATGTGCATTGGTTGGAGCAAATAAACACAAATCCAGCAATACAACACATTTCCAGGGGCCTGTACCACGAAGCGAGTTCAACATACCCAGGATATGTTTTCGTTATCTGGCTTAATAACCCTAACAATCGCGATCGGATAAGCGGTACCACGAAGCTGGTTATCAACTCGGTAAGTCAACCCAGGGTTTCCCAATCCAGCCGGGAGTGCGTTTACATAAAAGAGGCGGTGTTAGCAGCAGATGACCAATCGCAGACATGAACAAGTCCACTGTCAGCAGGGCGTCATATTAAACTGTAACACTACAGAAATACGACAGTAGCACGCCTGCATCTGACACATGCAGGGAGACAGAAAATCGCAGACAGTGTGAATGCCTAAATAAACAGGCGTAGGCATAATATTGCATTGATTTAAAGTGTTCTTATGAGCTGTATGAAAATATCAGCCTTATTATTTCAGCTCGGCTGTGTGTCAGCGTCTCCACATTAAAAGACTCGGGCACTGAATCAGTGGTCGTTCCACCTCACTTTAAAAAACTTGTCACTTCAAATCTGAGAGTAATTTATTTAACACACTCAAAAGTGTCCAAACATTATTCTAAATTAACTTCATAAAGCAATGAAATGAAAACTCCATTCATGCCATAAAATGTGCTCAGATAGGCTAGTGGTTGAAAGACAATCCCAACATTTAGGCTACTGAAAACTCACTGTCCCACCTTTTGGTGGGGAGGAACATGACTACGGTCTCTGTAGTAGACCTTAGAAAGCTATATTAACCTAAAATAGATAGCCTACTTTCATATTAAAATTTAGTATTTCAATATCCCTACCAAACTGCTTATAATATTCAGCCTCACATAAGACAAATAAAACCCATTTATTTTAAACGAACTGGGAGCAAATAAAAGATATTAAACACATTTCAAAGCAGTAAGTAGGCTTATCTTGCTGTACTGTAAAAACCTGTAGGCAACAATAGCCTGAGGCTTTTAATCAGTCGCTGTAGGATGATATCGCTATAGTCAAGAGTTTCTCCACATCACCGCTGCAAACATAAAGCAGCCTATTGGCTAAAACAGTCTATGGGATTTCCTACAGATGGTGATATAATTTTCCAAGAGAGCTGATTGGTCAGTAGGCGGCGTTTTCACAGAGTTGATCTCTTATCTGGAACATAACCTGCTCCGGAGCAGTTAGCCGTTCAGCATTTAAGTTACCATGGAGATCTACCCCGGTAAGAAGTGAAACACCTTCGTAGTACTGAAAACCCGGAGTTAACCCCGAAGTTATCTGGATAAACTCAAATCCTGCATCGTGGTACAGGCCTCTGATCTGTGTTCTGAAAAACGTTGATCCACTAAATCACAGTTTCCACTCGGACCTGAAGAATGTCTTTCCTCTCGCAGTCTTACTAATGTTGTCGCAGGTTTGTAGAGTTGAGCAGGTTGGACGACCCAAATGCAGGACACAAGGCTGACAGGTTCAGTTCAGTGATTTATAAAGGCAAACTAAAAGCACGCACACTTACACGTACAGTGGCTGAGTCCAATGTAAACCAAATAAATAAGCCAAATACAAACAGAAAATGTAAAACGAGTGTGATCCTTAATCCACAGAACAAACAAAGTACAGGCAGGCAGGCAGGCAGGCAGGCAGGCAAGACAAACAGCAACCACAACACACTGCAATGACCGGACAGAGACTGAACAGAAACAGCAAACATTTAACAGCAGGGACTGACAAGCAGGCGAGAGAAACAAAGGTGAGACGAATCAGGACTAACGAGACTGTGGTTATGAAGTCCTTTAAGCGCCTTGTGTTGACTCCTCGAGGACTCTGAGGCATGCAGGAAAGATTCCAGCTGACCCCTCACACCCTGGACGCAAACTGTTTCAGACTCTCCCCTCTGGCAGGAGGCTGTAGTCCATCAGGACCAAAACCTCTCGCCACAAGAACAGTTTCTTTCCGATGGCAGTGGGCTTCCTCAACAAGGCCCTGGTCCCCACTGCCAGTGACTCTCATACCCCCCTCCCCAAACTCGCACACACTCATACACTCTCCTGACCCCACACTTTACAACAACGCTCAACTGGGCTTTATGCTCATGTTGACAACTTTTGCACATACTTGTCAGCATTGTATTATAGTATTATTGTATCTTTTTATATTTTTTGTATACTTGTAATTTTTTTCTGATCTCCTTACTTTTTATATATTATTACTATTTATGTTATGTGTACTGTAAGCACCAATTCATACCAAGGCAAATTCCGTATGTGAAAATGTACCTGGCAATAAACCCGATTCTGATTCTGAAAACAGAGACAGGCAGGCAGATACTACACAGGAATCATAACAGACAAAACCTAAACAAGTGTAACTAAACTAAAATAATGCAGACAAAGAACTAGAAGTAAATACTAAGACATGAACTAAGGCACATGAACAAAGACATAGAACCAAAACCCAGACTCCCCAACAAGACACACAGACAGGATTGTGACAAATGTAATGTTACTTGTTACTTGTGCTACTTTGAACAGAATGAAACCACATTTCCTCATTGTAAAATACATGCACACATGTAAGACAGAGGATTAACTCCAACACAACCCTGTTTTTTTGTCTGTCAAGTAAAGCTGATCATGAGCAGACAAACCAGGAAGAATGTGTGTGAGAGAGAGAGCTTTGAAACAAACACTGCCCTTCAGCGTTGGTTTCTTTAAACAATGACTGACTATGACGCAGTTTAAAGTTGCCAAAAGATTTTACGTAAAGTGCAGTGTATCCACTATATGCATTCAGGTAGCGGCGGTGCGCCACTGCTGAATCACAACCACCGCTACTAAAATGACTCACGATCATTAAACTATGCGCTACAAATGTTTTCACTCGCACACTGTGCAGCACGGCATCAGTCAATGCTCGACTCGCTTCGTCTCCTCGTTCTATGCAGAACATACGTGACAGATGGAATCTGAATCAGGAGGCGCGCAGCGAGTGTTTGATTGTCAGAGCGGCAGAAAGTGACAGTGAACGTGAGCGGAGGAAAATATTCTGGCAGTAAATGTACGGTGTCTGTTACAGTGTGTCGGCTTCTCAAGACCAAGAAAAATCTGTTGTTTCCCACCTGCTGGAAAAGTGAAGCCGGTTAGCGCTAAGTTAGCTAACATCTCCCCTTCAGACCGCGCAGCTGAGCAGCTTCTAGCAGCTTCTACAGCAGCTACATAGCTGCTATGTAACTTAACGTTAGCTCAATTTATAGAAACTGGAAGCTGTATTTTATTACTGCCTACTTGTCTAATGTTGAGAACATCAGGTACAAACTTCGACTAAACTGACATAGCCTGCAGCTCTGTCCTGTACAGACTGATTCAATTATTTTTCAGTTTTCAGCCTGAAAAAGTGGTTTTGGAAAAGAAAGGACGGAGGTGACTGGAGGAGCTGAGGTTAGTAAAGCTAACTAGTGATGCAAACTAGTCCTTTTAAGCAAATGAAGAGACGTTTCTTTTTGGATTATAATGTGCAAATAAAATGCACCTCAGAAGGGAGGAGGTTTCTCATGTTGCCTATTTTTTATATTAATGTCTACAGATAAATGTCAAAAGCTGTAAAATGAAGACACAAAAGGCAAACATGAACAGTCATATCTATATTGATTGTGCTGCCCTTGCAATGCGATCTCTTGAGCAAAGCTACATAGCCAGTTAACATTCAACAGTCCACCAAAAAACAAGGCTTGACTTTTCTTGTGTTTTACTTAAGTTTTTTTTTTTTGGTTTGTTTTGTAAAACTGAAACATTACAGAATAAGTATATATATCACTATACATACTACATATGCATACAGTTACTACACAATCCCTATCAAAGTGTAAAACCCGCACTGTAGCCTACTGTATACAACAAGCGATGTAGCATAGTTCACCTACCACAACATCTACAAGTCACAAAACAATTAAAGAACAGGCTAGCTACTGCTGTGCTGCTAGCTAACAGAGCACATGTTTTTACCAAAGTATAAAAACGTTTCTAACATAACATACCTTACAAATGCAAGTGATTTACACATTACTTACAGGCACACAGTCTCCAAGGCAGAAGCAGATCAGAAATACTTTCAGCAACATGAATCCAGCACTGTCTTTCTTGACTTTAAAGACAGAACAATGATTCTGAGGACATATTAACAGGGTTAGACATGTTGTGTTGGGGTCCATCCTAGGGGAAACACTGAAGTTTAGTTGTTTTGTGAAGTGTGACTATTTGCAGCTGTATGGATTATTTTGAAAGACAGTAACAAACAACCTATTTTGTTATTTTAGACAGCAAGACATGTTGGTATTATCATGCAGTCAGATAGGATTTTATGAAGCAAAAGCATGGGTCTGGGTTCTAAGCTGTGGGAACTATGGTGGGTAATAATGGTATGCATATGTAAAATGACCCTTTAACAATGCCGCTCTTGACAGACTGTCATTGCATCACATGATTGTTTTACTTTATTTTTGTTTTGTTCAAGAAGAATGGAATTTAAATTTGTCTTTGCAACTACAGCTTTACTACGGTGAACAAAACACACCAGTGTGTGGATCCCACAGCCAGGTGGCTCAAAAGAAGATTCCAAAAGTTACAAAAAGTAAGTTTGGAAGACACACTCCAAGGTAGAAACAGTAATAAGCACACATTTTCTTTTAGTTCCATATGATAAATACCCTTAGTGATGGGTGTAATATGAATTCCTTTAATTTTCCACAGATGAACCAAACTTGTTTTTCTCCACAGAGAGGAATGTGTTGCTATGACCTCTGAAAGGCCTTCAACAGCCAAGATGAAGTTGACACATCATGATCTTCCAAGCAGAAATCTTCACATTTAACAATTGTTTTGCTTTATTCTTAATTTACAACTCCGATTTTTAGTTTCAATTTTCAGCTCAATATACTTTGTTTTTAATAAATATCATGATATTAACTATGTCTTTGTAATACTCTTTTAAACTAAAATAATACTTTTGACCCAGTCTAACATATGCATTTACACAAACCTTGCAAAATATTATTATTATTAGTTCTTCAACCAGGAGAGTCCCACTTAGATTGAGAGTCTCTCTTTAAAGCTGGCCTGGCCAAGACAGGCAGAAGCATAAAAAAAATGAAAAAAACACATCGATCAGATAACCCTGAAGGAGAGACACGCATAGCGAGCTCACATTTCAAGAGTACTTTTGAAACAGCTTCACAATTAACAAATTAAGGAACCTACCTCTAATTCTTTCATTTTGGATTTAAAAGCATTTAAAAAGATTAATTAATTGAGATTCAAGTCCTTTTGCAACGTATTTCACGCAAAGTCTGCAGAATACACAAATGTCCTTTTTCCAATTTACATGCGGGTCTTTGGAACAGAAAGCATAAAGAAGTCCTGAGAACGCAATGAGTATTGCCCCGCACTTCTCTGCGTGATAAGCACACATAGACCAAGAATTTCCTTATGTATAAAGGTGTACAGATACGGGTGGCCAGAGCAGGCCATCCTACCAAATGAAGCCTTAATGTCTAGAAAAATGTATTTCTACCAAGTGAGATATGCACACGTTCATTAATAACTATGAACACTACTGGGGTTTACTGTGGTAGGTAGGTATATTAGTCACACCAAATTACATTTGATTGGATACATTTATGTCCGCCTGAGTTCAAGATGAGTCATCAAAAATATTGCAATGTTTTACAGCAAGAGATGAATTTTGATATAAAAATACTAAAATCACTATTTCTTTGACACACTTGTATGAAGAGATAATTAACACTGGGACACAGGATTAGAACATGAAGGAAATGTTATTTTCATTGAAGTGTTTTTAATAAAGTAAGTAACTCAATAGCAATAATCGGCCAGCAGATGTCGCCATTAGACGATCAACTGCTTTGCAACACAATTGAGTCACAGTTATCTAGTGTTTAGTGTTACTGACAGGTCAGGAGCTAGAGTTTTACTGCATCCACACTGTTTAGTGTTGAGCTTCCAGCAGCTGAGAAGAATAAATCAATCTAATGTCAATCAGCACACACGGTTTAATTTAAATACAAAAGATTTATTGCCAAAACAACATTTCCATATATTATTCATTTTATGTTATGTACACAAAGGGTTGATAAAATTATTTTGTACTCCTTAACCTCAAACTGAGGCCACAATGCAAACCACAATGTCCTCAATCTCAAGGCCCACATTCTCAAAGTCCTTGAGGCCCGTCTTCTCTCCGTCACACTCACAGAGGCCTTTGTCCTCAACATGCTTTTGTAGGACTTGCGTTGTCAGGGTTTAGTGTCTCTGTCTGCCTGGCCGGGAGGAGGATCCATCAGGTCCTTGAATCCCAGTTTCTCCAGAGGCTCCTTGGCCATCAGCTGACTGGAAATACACAAGGTAACGAAGGAAAACGATTCAGGTCTGATGAAAAATGTGACCAGATGTAATGATCATGAGAAACGCAGGCTGTATTATTTAAATTAGGTTTCTTACTGGTCCATGCGGCACTCCAGGTAGCCTTTGGACTGCAGTCGGCACTTGGAGTTGTCGAAGCTGTTGTCTCTCAGGCATTTCATAAACGTCTCCTTGAAGGCTTTACACTCTCCTGAAATATAAATAAGATACATGAAGGTCCAGCCATGGAGGTTAATGCTCAGATATGTCACAGCTTCCTGCGATAGACTGGCCACCTGTCCAGGGTGTACCCCGCCTTTCGCCCACTGTAAACTGGGATTGGCTCCAGCCCCCCGCGACCCTGTACGCAGGATGAGCGGTTGACGATGGATGGATGTCACAACACAAGACTCAAGCTATTTCTTCAACGTGTCAGTTTGAGCCAATTTGGGCACATAAAAGTGTTCTTTCCTTAATGTAATAAAGACGAACTGTTAACAGGAGCAGGGCTGTGAGTCCACTGGGAGATGTAATTCAAAGTTTATTGGACTGTGCGTGGTTTCACACAGATTGTTAAATTGGGAAACGGTAGCATGCGTCAGCTTAGCCAGACTCTCTGTCTCTTGTGTATTATTATTACATTCAAGTCACAGAGCTGAGCACCAGTTCTGCTAAAAATTTAATAACCATCAATCTTAGAAAACCCTTGGGGAGGGCATTAAATAACACTTCCTGCTGTTCTGAAGTGTTTTCCCAGAATCCTCCAACAATCGTCTGACCATCTGGATGAAAACAATATTATGCATGTGTCCAGGTATGTCTCCCTGCTCACTCTCTACAACAAAAGAAACCTCTAAAGACATGGTTTTGAATGAAAACGTAAACAAAGTACAAAATCACACCAATCCAAAGTAATTTAACTATCAAGAAAACAATTCTCTAAATTAGCCATCATCTCTAGATTAAATTAAACAAAAATGACTAATTTAGAAAGCTGCAGAAAGACGAGAGGGTCTGATTTAAGAGTTTAAGACCAGCTGGGTGTGTCCAGAGACCGCAGACTGCAGTGCCTGCCTCTGCTTAAATGCACTTACAACTAAAAATAAATAAATAAATAACTCAAACATATAGATGTTGCTGAACATGCAGGAGAAATGGCGTGAGTTCAGGATGACTTGTCTTCTCTTACCGAAGTGGTCCAGAGGGAAGGAGCCTTTTTCAGGAGGCCGGGGCGTAAAACTCTTCGACCCGAAGTTCATAGCTGTGGACATGTTTGTCTGGGGTTAAACAGCCTGTTTCTAAAAGCTGTGGGACTTTTTCCATAAAATGCGAAAGCGACAACAACAGCCGCCGTACGCGACCCTGTCGCGTAGATATGACGTATTTTTCAGCGCCGTCTCAGCAGACAGACATTAGTAGTCTATTGAATCGCATTGATGATCGATCGCATTTTCGTTTAAGTTGTGTTGTTTTTTTGTTGTTGTTTTTTTAACATAGAAAGTATTGTACCGCCATCAGAAATGAGTCATAACAGTTAAATCGGATTTTTTAAAATATATACTAATAACGTTTTAATCGCACAGTCTGATGAGAAAAAAACACCTAAACCTGCTAAAAACGCAAGGTATGACACAACATGGAAAAATGGCCTGTAATTCCTATGTAAACATTATATTACACAGTATAAATATGATATAAATCACAATATAATAATGTCATGTTATTAAAAAATGCTTGTGAATTGCAGCCCTATCAATAGGGGAATAGGCCTACCACAAATAAAGGTTTTTAATAAAGATAAAGCTATTGATACAAGACAAAAATACTGTAAAAATGGTTATTTTATTGCACTAAGATTAAATCTTATTCCTTTCATATAGGCTACATGTCTTGTTTTTATATACGTTGTTTTATTATTAGAGTGACCTAAAGCACGTTTAATTGCACCGACGGGGCTATGGCCTACAAATGAACACTACTAGTTTTAGCACGGTTCCTGCATGTGGATTTTAATTATGTTAAGTGTGAGTATTGTGTTATTAGATGGAATGGCGGACTTTTCTAAGAGTGGTACAGTTTTAGGAGTCGCAATTAAATGTGTTCTGGTTGTCCACCGCTGGATGTCTCACTTTCATAACATATAAGATTGAATAGAGGGGCGAGGAGACAGACAGGGAGGCAGGCAGGCAGAGGAGGAGGTGGTGATGGTAACATATAGGCTTGATTATTATGCAGTCAGTGAGACTCGGTAATAGAGGAAGCAGTGAGGGAGAGAGAGAGAAACAGAGAGAGAGAGAGGTTTCCCTTGCAATCGGCTCAGATCGTCCGGTCTTCTCCCTCTCCAGTCTTTCTTCTCCACTTCAGATCGGAGGTGACAGGTGATCGGGCTGTCTGTCTGTCGGATGTTCTTGGGCAGGATTCTTCCCACCGCGGTGAGGCTGGACGGATAAACTCACCATGGCGCTGGAACCGGAGGGGAACAACCGGCTCCTGCAAGACGTGCTGGCGAGACCGGGCAACGAAACGTGCGCGGACTGCGGCAATCCAGGTAGGCTAAGCCAGGGGTCTGGTGCAGGTAGTAGGCTACATGAACTATAAGCTGCTGTGCATAAGGTGGGGGAGACTAGTCAGCTGGTGCTTCAAAACCCAACAAGTCTGGGTGAATTGGGTCCAGATATGATGACAAAGGCCTGGCAGGGTACATACCTGAAAACACCCTGTTTTGCAGGTATAAAATGACCTAACAAACTGGACTCTGGACTTAAACACATAAAACACTCCTGTGTGTGGCTGTCATGGTGTGTGAGGGTGTACAAAGACATGTCAAGTGTCCCCTCCACAGCTATTACTGTTGTTACTGACTGTGTGTGTGTCCACGGTGTGTTTTCACTGGTGTGGTGTCCTCATGTTCTACACTGTCAGCAACCTCCACACAGCTCGCCCAGTAGCTAATTATTGGTGTGTGCGTTTTTGTTTTACATGTTTGCTTTTCATTTCCACAGCACTGATTTCACCCTAGTTATGTTATTCTCTATTAAGCAGCTTCATCCCTTTCTTCATCTCTCCATCCTCTCCCCATGCATTCCCCCTTTTTAATCCGCTCCCTTCCTCCTCCCCCTCCTTTCTTCTCACTGACATGGCAGTAAACCAGTGAGTGGGCACAGAGGCTCCAGTACAGGCCGTACGCCCAGTGTTTTGGAGCCGAGCCCGCCCAGGATGCCTGTTTCTCTGGCCCTGGTATCAGCTCCGCTGAGGACTGGCTGTAGTGGAGCAGCTTTTGGAGCCAGAGGCGCTCTTGCAAATTTCAATAGCTTTGTCTGAGCGGTGGGCACCTAAAGGGGGATTTCATTTTGACCAGAGGGTGTGATGTTGTTGAGATACATGCGGAGAAATGTCTCTCATTGTGGGTTGATGTTGCGTTTGTGTGTTGACTTTAAAGTATTTGAAATTTTGCTTCTCACCACTACCAACTTCAGCCTAATATGCTCATAAAAGTTTTTATGTTATTTGTTGTAAACGCTCAGTCTAAAACCAGGTTTCATCTGTTGATCTTTAGCGGTGGCATCGATGGAGATGTCAGTTGGTTGTCGGTCCACCACTTTGGTCTAGGTTGAAATGTCTGCTATTCGATGAATTGTGTGGACCCCAGAGGATGAAGTATACAATGAAATGTCTCAACATATGATGGATTGGTATATATGATTGACATTAATAATAGTTCCCTGGTTCCCAACTGTAGATATAACTAACTGTGTATACTCTGCATACTTAACCAAATGCATAGATGCTGTTCATACTGTATACCACCTTACATTTGCACTCTCTCTCTAACTCTGTCCACTTCTCCTCTATACAGTTTATAATTTCACATATAGCCTACTGTATAATATTTGTATATTGTAACTCCACTGTACATATTGTAAGATATAGCATAACTTACACTGTAGTACTTACTTCCTGCACTCTGTATAAAACACTATATTCCTGCATTTCTGGTTAGATACTATCTTAGCTCTGTACCCGTACTCCTCATAATGACAATAAAGTTGGATCTAATCTAATGCATGCTAATGACTGATAAGTGAAATGTTGGATGGATTGCTATGAAACCTGGTACAAATATCCATGTTCCCCACAGGATGAATCGTTATCCCTTAATATTTGCTCTAGTGCCGTCATCAGGTCCCAAGTTAATAAGTTTATACAATATTTTGTCCAATACTTTGGTTAATGACCTGCAGACCTAATGGCATTTCCCTTAGCCTCAGCTGTACTTGTTATCTGCCACCACTCTGCCTGAGTACAGCCTCACAGAGCCGGCTGCAGACATGCAGCCTCATAGTCTTGTTTGGGGAAAATTGGCACAATTACCAATACCCATGTAGCCTTATTTGACCCTTGGGATACTTTTTTTTTGATGTAGTTTCCCTAAACAGTTCGACAATGATGCAAATTGCCTAGAGGAAACATTGGCTCAGATTGTTCCCCTGCTGGGTTTTGCATGGAAAATATGCCCCTTTCACCTTCGCAGTCATTACATAATCAAATTTAGCCAAATTTAGCCATGTCAAGCGAAGGTGGGACAGATGTTCTGTGTTGTGCAGCAGTTGCCGAGTAGTCCCGAGAAGCTGTAAATGCCGGGTGACTGATTGATCACAGCTAGTAAAATTTCAGCTGGCGAAGTATACTCATTTATGCTGTCTTATCCCCCAGCAAGTGTTAAGATTCCCTCAAGCAAGGCACTTAGTGTTCAACAGTGTAACTTTGGTTGAATCCAAACAACTGCTTTCTCCCATATTTGCCTTCGAACACTCATTTCGTGAAATTTCCGGAGAGCAGGCTGCTCAGATGAAAAGTGTTAACCAAATCGTTATCTTTCTCCCCGTCCTCTGCTACCAGATCAGGCATTCCCAGGCTCATAATTCATATCTCATAATGGCCAAGATATGAATTATTGATGCTAGTTCGGTGGCTCCTTCCCAGATGGGGACAGGATCTTATCTCAGTGGCTTTTTCAGAAAAACATCACGGCTTCATTACAGCTCAAGATACCACAAATCATCTCAGCAGAGCAAAGAAAACAGACAAACATGTATTGTACTGGAGTCGGTGTGAGCTAAGGTTACTTAGGAGGACGTAAGGAAGATAGTTAAGTAGGATGTAACAGGTAGTGCACTGTAGACCTACATATACGGGAGACCGATAGATAAGCCAAATAGATAATAAATGATTATAGATGTTAGCATTGTTATGTCAAGGATTACTCATTAAATGGGCATTTTTAAATATCAGTTTATGCAGTTCTTGTAGTTGTCTTTAATTGAGGCTAATGACAGTTGAATTGAATGTAATAAGGTACTACCCTACTTTGTTAATCAACTAGTTTCTTAATCATGGAGGATCTTTAGTTAAAATGTGTGCAATCATTGCTAAATCAGAATTGGCTTCATTGGCCTAGTATGTGTATGTTAAGGTGTAAATATGTTACATCCAGGCCAGAAAAAGAAAAGGGGGTTCTTGATGATCAAAGGTTTAGCAAAAAAAAACAAAAACAAAATTCTGCCAGACAAAATGTGTTTTTTCTGTGCTTTTGCTTTTTTCATACTATATTGCCTAATACTGTAAACTTTATAACAACAACTAGCAGACATGTAACCTGTTATATGGCTTTTGTATTAAGCTTTCCCAAGCTAAAGGTTTGGAACCACAGTCGTAGTCCTGTCTCTACTAAAAGAACACTAAGAATATGTTTACATTAAGCCTTCTAATATGTAAAACATTGTTTTCCCGTTGTTTTTAATAAAAAAACTCTGCCCACAGTGAAACACCTGAACAATAGAAAGCCTAAATCTCGGGATAGCCTGGGTGACCACTTTGTTAATGATCACGACGTCATCTGACCAAATCAGTATTAATACAAGTTAATGATAACAGTGTAGTCGACTATATTGGCGTTACCCTCTGTGACCACCTACTGTATACTGTGTTGTAATATGGCTGAATTGAAAACACAATTTAGTTGTTCCCATTTTTATATTTTGTGTACAAAATACTAATCTAATCGCATTCCCATAAACACTACCTCTTAACCACCAGTCATTTCTTTAGTTTTAATTAGTGAAAGTTAGCGGCAGCAGAATGTTCTTAACTTCGCTGCCTCATAGCCCCAGACCTTCACTGGGCTGGTTTACATCATTGTTTTTGCAAACGCTCAGTTTTCCTTTGGCACACATTTAAACACCAAGCCGGTGTTTTCAGATTTAGACACTCTGGAATTTAGGAAAAGCAGCTTTTTGGTGATGCAAATTTAATATGGACGCAGAGCTGAAACTGTCTTAATGCGGACATACTCTTCAGTTCACTACAGTTCCCTGTAAAAGTCAAAGGTGTCAACAAAAATACTGTATCATAATGGCTAGCTGATATGGTTTGCTATAGCTAACAAGGTAACTATCTATTTTACGTTATTATCTTATCATTATTATTATTATTATTATATATATCTACAGGATATATCAATGACACCATGTTTAGTTCAAAGGCAGTGCAGACTTAACTAATTTTGCGCAGCTACAAAAGCAATGGAAAACTGAGAACCTCGAATACATCACATGAAATCCCTCCATTTTATTTGCAGGCTGTACTGTCTTTACTCTTAAAAAGACAACAGTGACCTGGTGCTGGTGTGCTCAGACGAGACTGCTGTGAGGCTGATCTTGGAGCTGGGAGCTTACGCGGCAGGGTTTCTCTGTAGCTCAGCAGCGCTGTGGTTCTGCCCTTCGCTAAGGACACACAAACGAGTTCTTCCCTCCAGAGAGAAGCCTCAGCAGTCCTCTGAGGAGTGAGGAAGGTTTTTGTTGAACAGCAAAAACAGCAGGAACTTTGATGAGATAGTAGGAGGTTTAGACTCCTATGGCAGTCCACTCATGGCTCTCCGGACTATTGTTCAATGTTTTTTTAAAGGAAAGTTGGAACAAAAAACTTTCTGCATTTCCCATTGCAACTCAGTGTCTGATGTACAGTGATGTGAATAAGTGAGCTGAAGCCCTAGCCAATTAAAGCATTGGTAATGCTGCTGTGCATATGTTTAGGTTCTTTAATTTAAGAAAATTCACTGTAAACTTTTATTTGTGGGCATAGTTAGTAAATAGATGGATACACTGTAGCAGAAAGGCGGAGAAGACACGTACAGACTACCCCTTTTTCAACCTTGACAGTAAGGAAGGTGGATGGTGAGGTGATAAATCACAGACACACCTGACATAAGACACACCTGTGACACCATCCACTCCAGCACGTTGTTCTCAAAGATCGCATTTTAGACCATTCTATCCTGGTCTCCTATCCTCATGATGCCTTCCATGTATCCTGGGTGCGACTTCCAGTTACTCCTTTCACTGAATCAGCGTCTGCAAGTCTCACACCCTGTAACATATTAAAGGGGTCATGTGTAGTTTTCAGTGGTCTCTAGCAGTGAGTTTTCAGATTACAACCAAAGTCATGAGCGAGCCTAAACAGAGACAGACACACTGAGACAGCATCACACAA